TTTCGGGCTATATATATTTATTTATGTAGTAATTTGATTAAGCGATGATTTTTTTTTGTGTTAGCTTTTCTTAAGTTGATTTGAACGTGCTATATTAAATTTTTTATTTATGAACCCTTCAACCTAAAATGTTCAAATTGTGACAAAGTTAGATTTCATCACTTATGAACCGTTGGTTGGATTAGATTCCCTTATCTCAATCTCATCCATTAAAAGAAACAAACTCCCACTTTGCCCTCTGAAATAATTTGATTTTCACGTATAATACAATAATTTACCTAGCACTAATTAGTAAATTAGTATCAAATTATTTTGAAAAACATGAAAATTTCACCCATCAATGCCCATGAATGTTAAATCAATTTGAAATTTTAATTCTTATGGAATTTAAAAAAAAATCATTAATTAGCCAAATCGCAAGAAAAATAAGTAAGAAAAAAGAATTAAAAAATAATAAAATGAGAGTATAAATGTATTCGCAAGTGGAGGGAGAGTGATAGAATTTTGCTTACATAGGTTCCTACTTTTTTTGTGGGACCTATTGTTTTTTGGGGCTAGATGTAGCCCGATTTTATGCTACCCAAAAAAGGAAGTTGCTAGCCCCAATAGTGGATCTAGCCCTATTTTCCGGCTCATTGGGGATGAAATTTCTCGCTAAGGCTAGAAATGTGGTAGCATCATGAAAGATAAAGCCCCTCTTGGGGATGCTCTTAGAAATTTGGATTCTTTTATTTTGTCCATCTCAATGCGACTGCTTGATGTGCTCTTACCCATCCCCACCCAACCAATGTCTAATTACTTGGATTCTTGCTAGTTCCCACCTATTTTCCATCTTTTTCCTCCTCCCTCTAGTAAATAAAATGCACAAGATATTTTGGATATTAGTTTGAAGAGTACTTAATTAATCTTCCCAACTTAAATAATTACCTAGATAAAGTGCTTAATTTAGATGTTTAATCATAGAACTAGCTGACTCCACAAGATCACAACCACTTCAAGGTTTATATATTATTCTAATTTAAGTAAGAATTTATACTGTCGCTAAATTGCATTATACCATTATACAATCTAGTGATATTCTTTAAACTTGTAAGTTAAAAATCTTAAGTTCAACTTAGATGGATGACAGCTCGATACGTAACTCTGCGAATGACCAATTTTGTAACTTTACCCAAATTTACAATCTCAGTATCGTTGTATAGAAAGGAGAGTAAGATTTTCAAATTGTCTATCTACTTCAACTCTCTCTCTCTAGTGGTAAAGATCACATGCATGCTTGTTGATGTGGCTTGTTCGTTGGGTTGATCACTTGGAGTAGATAGATGTGTAAATGTAAAATTGTAATGTAATGTGAAATCCACATATTTACAACTCTGGATTCGACTTTTCCCGTACATGCATGGATGGTGGCCATGTTCACTAAAAAGTAGGGTTATCTAATGGACTTTGAGCTGAAAAAAGGTGGTCGATCGAGCAAAAGACGCTTTGTGCTCCTACCTTAAATATTGTAGTATAAGAGAAAAAGGCCAGTTCCATAGCTTAGTTTAGTCCTTTATTTGTTTGTTTTCTCAACTGACCTAAAACAACTTCCTTTCATCACTACTCAATTAGCCAAGACAAGGTTCAAACCCTAGCTCCTAATAGCTTACTACATTCTTAATTATAATAATAATGTACCATTTGGATGGCTTCAGCGCATGATCAAATGTATTATGACTAGCTAATTAGCTAAACAATTATCTAACAGAATCTTATTTGTCAACTAAAGAGGGTACACTCCACTTCAATTAAGGAAAATTCAGCATGTGGCCTAATTATACGCTTCTAATATTCAACAAGTTGGTTCCTTTGATCATATATATAGTTGTCCCACCATGTTTTTCGTGAAGCCAACTTTCAACATTACTGAAAGGAAAAATTAGTATCCCCTAACTACTAATGTTCATTGACTGAGACCTTATTAGTTTTCAGATTTTGATCGAAGTCCCTAGCATTAATGTATTAAGGAATTTACATGTTTTTTTTACTACATCGATATTTTTACACTAAGAGAAGGGGGAGTTCAACAAAGCCACACAATAGGCAGCCTAATTTGGTATCGAATTCGCCATCCACGAGATTTGAACCTAAGACTCTCACTTCCAAGTGAAGATGAATACCACCAGATCGTAGTATTGACTGGCAGGAATTTACATGTTAGTTCCTTAGTTTTTTAAATCAAAATGAGTAATTTATTTAGGGTTTTAATATTCACACCTTTATTAAACTTCTAATTAATTTTCAATTCAAAACATTTTCAAAATAAAATAAAAATAAGTTTGTACCCATTAATTTTCTATAAAAGATTTTCCAATTTTTAATCTTAAATGTACCAATTCATCTAATTTTTTAATTCTTTTAATCATAAATTTAACCATTCTTAAAATATCAATTTGTTATATGTAAAATGTCCCTTTTTTCGTACAAAGGGCACCTTTTTTTTATGTATAATCCATTAAATTTTTTCTTCTAATTCATTTTTTTAATTTATATGGGTACATCCTTTTTTTTGTTGATTTGAGAATGTATCAATGTCAAGTTTAATCGAAAAAATTTACCAATGTTATTGAGCCTAATATCTATTTCTTTTTGTGCTTTTGAAGAATGTACCACATTTTGGTGCAATAATTTTTTGGTTAATTTTGATGAATGTACCCATATATATATATATATATATATATATATATATATATATATATACACACACGTGTGTGTGTGTGTACAATATATTTGAGAGTATAATTTATCTTTTAATATAAATAACTAAATTTCAAATTTTAATTTTAAAAATATAATAACCTACATAGAAACACATTATTATATTAATGTCAGAGACTCCAATAAAAAACTGAAAACCAATAAGGTTTCAATCAAAGAACATTGATAACTAGAGAGCGCATCCAAAGTCTCCCTTACTGAAATATAAGATGGATGAAGTCCAAATGTGGTTTTATATTCTCCCTCCAAATGCAGTGTTGAGAAATGAATTCCACATTAAAAGAAGAACCATAGCACGTGCTTATAAGTAATGGACTACTCTATACATTGTCAATTGGTTTTATGGTAGAACCTCAACTTCTTCATGGTAATAGAGCAGATTGTTCATGTGTCAAGCCCAATGTCCACACGTGATCCACATCAGGCTTGAAAAATTCGCCTTGCGTGAGGGGGTATGTTGAGAAATGAATCCCTCACCAGAGAAAAGAGAAACCTTGAATGTATTTATAAGTAATTAGGCTATTCGCTATATTACCAATTGTTTTTATGTGGAACCCCAACTTCTTCATGCGGATCGTACATGCTCTTGATAACTTTACACGCCTTAGGATACTATTCATTTTCGATTTTTGATCAAGGTCCTTGGTATTAATAACATAATTAATTATTTGAATAATAAAATATTTTTATTTTTAAATATATTCCTTTAGTGTTAAAAATGTTACAATTAGTATATTTATATTTATGGCTAAATTTTTATCATATATTTTTATTTTTAGTTTGTATAAATTTTTTTTTTCATTTTTAATTTGTACCCATATATTAGTTTATTTTTGTACCCATATTTTTTAAAGTTTTATTTGTGTTTGTACCCATGTGTATACCGTCACTTGACATTGTATATTTAATCAATGATAGAAAAATTACATATGGTATATTTATGTTTTATGCCCAAACTTTGTATCATATATTTATATTTTTAGTTTGTACCCACTTTTAATTTGCAACATTTTTTTTTAATTTGTAGTATTTTCTTTTTAGTTTTATTTTGTACCCATGTATTAATTTCTTTTAGCGCCTGTATTTTAAAAAAATTCATACTCATAATTTTTTAATCTTTTATAAGTACCCTAATTTATTTATGATGTACCACTTTGTTATATGTGAAATGTACCAATTTTTTTGTAAAATGTACCAATTTTTTTAACACTATGGATACATTATTTTGACATTTATTATTTCTTATTTTTACATAGTTTTTATCCATTTATTCAATCAAAATGTTTGAATTTTTTACTGTAACCGTTTCTAATAGTATTATAATGAGGGATTTTAAATTTATAGGATTATAAATCTCATAAAATATCAAACAATTAATGTCAAAACTATAAAAATATTAATATTAATTGTAATATAATGAGGTGTACAAGGTCAAGGACTTTGATCAAACTTTGAATACCATTAAAATTTTAGTCAAAGAATATTAAAGATTAGAGACCTCATCCAAAGTATCCTTTTTAGTTTTTATTTTATTTTCTTTGCCAACACATTGTAAGTTGTAACCTACTTTGCAATTAATCTGCCGCGAGAAAATTTTAGTGGTCTGACTCAAATCTTTAGTACTAGTAAAAAGACGTAACCATCACAACAGCATATATGTATTGCAATATTTAAAAAACTGTGTGTTTTGTGAGATTTGGGGAAATGATAAAACTGGAAAATAAGCTGGATTTGTTGATATATGGGTCCCAGATGACTTATCCTGATTAAATAAAGTGTATTGTCACCACCGTTTAATTATTCTTTATTGTTTGCAGTTCCAACTTCCAACTATTACTTTAGTTGAAATAAAAAACTTTTATTTTAGTTGCAGATTTCTTTCAATGATCGATTAATAGTAGCTTATGCTAATTACGTGTTTAAAATGACATTAGTATTCTAAGAAATGTTAAGGGGATTTTCTCAAAAAGAGTTTTTTATGGGCTTTCTGTCGCCTTACATTTTAACGTTAATTTTCATGTCAACATTATAAAACATTATGCCAAATATCATTTTCTTTAGTATTCTAGTCTAGTCATATGAGATATAGCAAGTTGAAGAAAAAGCTTAACCAAGTATGTGACAGCCCGTCCCAGAAATAAATTACGGATGGCGTGAAAAGACGATGTTACCCTTGGACGTTGAATTTTTCGTGGTAAGTGTGTGTGGTTAAAATTATGGAAGTGGACCAAATAGGTAAGTTCCTATTAATTTGGAACCATTTGCAAGTGAGGAGATAATTGGTTTTGATTGGGTGTACAATTTTGGACCACACAACCCTATCATTTCTCTCTCACTCCCGTACCCTCTCTCTCTCATAGAACCCTCTCTCTCCTCCCTCTCGGTTTCTCTCTCTCCTTCGAACCGTACGGACAAAGAACAAAACCCTTGCAAACTTCGCAGATCGAGGATTATAAAGTCACCATTGTGTTCGTGAGGACCCTACGAGCACATCCATACCCATTTCAGGTAAGAACTCGTTTGATATCACGTCGAAATCACGAGCACCAAATTAAGCACTGTTCACGAACTTTTTATTGGTTGGTTTTTAGGACGATCCAAGCTCACGGCGAGCTCTAGGAGGTTCCCACGAAGCTCGGAGTGCTTCGTTGCGTCGATTTGGATGTCGGGATCACGAAGTCCCAAGGTGACCGGTTTTTGGGAAATTGCTCCGTCGAGATTCAGACGTTTTTAAAGGTTTTTTAAGGTATGGACTTCTTCCTCTCTTGATTTAGAGCATGTAGGAAGAAATTTGGGTCAAAATGGTGAAGAAATGGGCGAGAAAACCTGAGTTGCAGGTTTACCCAGTTTCCGGCGCCGGTGGCACTGTTCCGGCGTCGCGAGGTTGAAGGTGATGCGCGTGGGCGCGCGTAGGTCCGTGCCACCCACGGTGCGTGGGGGCGCGTGCGACGCTAAAAAATTATTTTAAAAATTCCTCGACGTTCGTGACGTCGAGTAGGTCACTGTGGTATATTCATATACCCAATTTGAGCACCGTATGAGAAGTTATTAAGAATTGTTGGTTAGGTGCTTTAAATAACGTTTTATAGTTATTTCGCATATAGGTGAAAATGTGAATTGATGATCCGACCGTTGGATCGTCACCAAACTTTGATGCGTCGTAATACGTAATAATTGAGGATTATAGGAACTTATGGATTGGGAATCCGATTTACGGATCTTCCGGAATTGGAGTTGTAAGTCCATAATATAGAATGTTAACCGTCACTTGGTTTTGATAATTGACGGAGATCCGACCGTTGGATGGTAAGGAAATTTTAGGATGTTGTTCTAGGGATATATTGTGGACCTCTGGAAGTTATGGATTGGAAATCTGAGTTGCAGATCTTCCGGATCGAACTGCGTAGTTACGTGTTTTATATAAGTTATATTCTATTTATATGAATTCTGAGGTTGGATTTGATTATTGTTCTAGGCGCCGATCGTCATGACAACTTGATGTGTTGTGCTAGGGAGTTGTAGGGCGAATTCTAGGTGAGTGGGCAGTTTTGTTTTCGTATTACCTATATACTACTGTTTTTCCCAGAAAATGCATTTATATGAAAATATGTTTTAAAATGCCATGCATGCAATCGATGAGATATTTGAATTGATAATTGATGCATATATATGTGAATTGACGCTGTGGACGCACATGTGAGTTTTTACATTATTCATACGATTTATTTATGTGAATTGCATTGAAAGCTCATAACCTACACCCTAGGTGTTAGTGCTTATATTATTCACCACACCGCACGCTCGCCTTGGATCCAAGTAGGTGGATGTCGTACAGACCACTAGAGGTGGTTCCGACATGCCAGTCGTACAGACCATTAGAGGGGTTCCGACTGGTAGGTGACCTTAGATTATGTGCACAGATGATTGATGAGAGAAGCACTAGAGCGTATTATTTCACCATCTTAGTCGTACAGACTACTATAGGTATTTCCGACTTACGTGCAGTGTAGTGCCGTACAGGTCACAGTTGGTGACTCTGGCAGGGCCGTACAGGTCATAGTTGGTGACTCCGGCTGGATGGGATATTGAGCTATAGAATCAACCGTACAAGACCACTGTAGGGTCTCCGGTTGATTTATTATTTCACCTTATTTATATTGATGCATTCATTCATATTATATTTTGGCATGGCATGACATATTCTTTCTGAAATGTTATGTTGATAGATGGTGAGCTGAGTTTTGATGATTTATATATTTATGTTTTTATAATAAATTTCTGGGAAAGTATACAGGTTTTACGGCGAGGGGTTAGAAATGTTTTAAATGAAAGGTTTTCGAAAAGCTTTGTTTTGCTGACCCACTCAATTTTGTTTTGCGCCCCTCCAGGTTCAAGTTAGCAGAGCTTTGGTGGCCACGAGGAATCCAACGGTGTTCTGACAGAATTCAGAAAAGTAGGATTCACCCTCGGGTGTTATATCTTAGTAATTGTATTCTTTAAAGCTTCCGAACTGTGTAAATGGTTACGTCACTCTCACGTGACGGCCAGCATGCCCTCCTTCGGGACGGGGTGTGTCAAAGTACTACTTGCAAATTCAATACTTAATTATTAATGAATCATTGTGTGACTTAACTAAAATCTCTACGTAAATATCGTTGGATAAAAATATTAAAAAAAAACATTTATAAATCAAAGAATCTATTGGAAAAGGAAAAAGAAACTCAATCTAAATTGCCGGCACGGGACTAGGATGTGATTCATGGGACATTGGTTTGGTATACTTCATAGTCTATAGTTCAAATTAAAATAGTAATATTGAAAAAAAGAGTGAAATTTGAAAAGAAAAAAGATTATGTAGATTAGGAAAAATTTAGGGTTGGCTTGAAAACGGTTAGACAATATATAATGTATTTCTTTAACTTTAACTTGTAATAACCAGGCACGAAAGGTGAAGCACATATAAATCATTGTGTATACTTTGCCTCACCCCTTACCCAAAACCTTTGCTTGCTTCACCTACTTTATTCTTTCCTTGATCCAGTCCAGAAGTCCTCTCCTTAAAGCCTAGAAATTGCAGAAGATTTTCACATGCTTCTTCTGTTCCATGGAGTCAAATTTTCAATATATATATATATATATATATATATATATATATATATATGTCTTTGTCAATCGGGTCAGTCCCGTTCTCCTGGACTCTTTTGGCCAAGAAAATTGAGGTTACCTACTGTACAATCTAATTCACCGGTTGCAAAAAAAAGTAAAGCAACAAAAGTTAAATGATCTCCTTCATTGGATTTGGACCAAACAATAAGTGACCTTAATTTTCTTAAACCATAAGATTCAGGAGAACGAGATTGATATGTGATGTCTTTGTTACATTGGTCAAAAGAAGGTAAAACACTCAAACCCCAAATATTCCGGGATTAATACGGCTTGTCTATCCCATAAAAATTGTTTCAAACGTTTACGTGTTTGTCTTTAGTTAAATAGAGATGTTTAGTACAAACATTTTATTTAGCAAGTGTGCAAAACTCCATCAAATCACACCTTATTAATTAACTAAACTAATTGATTAATTAGTACAAAGCATACTTAAAACCCAGGTTTAAGGCCAAGTAGAATCATCGTGTTATTGGAGTGATGTTGTGCTCCATGCATGTCTAGGCAGTTTAGGTAATAATAAAAGAAAAACCCTAAACAAAACATGTTTTAATTTGTACGTACATGCATGGACCTGAAATAGAGCATGCCTTCCCTGGCATCATTCGTAAATTTGAGCTCATTAGGTTCGATATATATATAACATATAAAACATATTTTGTTTTTTTGTTTTTTCCTTAATCTGAATGATAAAATCAAAAATCAGATTTTCACCTCTGCATTTTCTAATAAGTATGCAGACAAAAATATTGGTTTGTGTTGCAGTCCTATTAGATTAGGAATGTTATTGTGTAAATCCTAGTATATATTGGAATATCTCTTATATTCCTATTAGGAATATATTACCTATTAAATGTTGTAATCCTAAATGGAAAGGTTTTTACCTATCCTACTACTATACATAAAGGCACAATGAGGTGGAATAGAACACACATCACAATTACACATCTCTCTCTTCTCTCTACTATTGCCGCACCTTTCTCTCTCTCTATGGCCTCCATAATCGCTCGGTAAATTATGCCTACAACAGTTAGGTTGTTATTTATTGTTTATTTCTTTTTATTTTCTGTTTGCTAGGCAAGGTTTGGAATTTACGATTTTCCTCATTCTATCAATAAATCCTATTTTATGATGCTTGGAAAATATGATTTAAAAACTGGCAAACACAAAATTGAATCTCTAGATGTTCATGCAGACCTATCAATTGATTAAAAACTAGCTGCCATTTAAAATTGTCCAAAAATAATGGAGTAATTTTGGCAATTGAAAAATTAAGACAAGTACATCCTAAAATTATATAACATTAATATCAAGTACATTTAGGGCCTGTTTGGTGTGTTCTTTTTTTTTTATCAAAAAATATTTTACTTTAAAGTTAAGCAAGTGCTTGGTACGTAATGTTTATTTTAAAAGCAATGGTCTTCAGACAATCATCTTTTAAAGCAACCTACATGTTACTTTTAAAAGTTATTTTAATAAAAAGCGGAGTTAAGCCTTTTTTAATACTTTCAATTCCTATAATACTGTTCATTTTTTAAAATGACATTGTGTAATCTTCTACATACATTTTTCCTCTTGTAGAACAATGTGACCACCACTATTTACCACTACAATTACTAACCTTACATCAACACCGCCATTACCACCACCATCATTGCCGCTACTATTACCACCATAATCGTCACCACGACTACCACTAGCACCACAACCACAACTGCCATTACCACCACCATCATTGTCGTCATTGTCCCCAACCACAGCCACCACCACCACCACCACCACCACTACCACTACCCCAACCACAACCACAATTGCCACCACTGTCAACTCAACCACAACTACCATTGCCAGCACCTGCACCCCAATCACCACACGCCACTATTCGCACTGTTATTGTACCCTTACTATTGTTGTTGTCATCACCATCACCATCTCTGGCCCCACTGCCACAACCACTACTATTGCCACCACCTATGACTCCAACCACCAACCTTACACAATTGTCGCCATCACCATCACCATCATTGCCATTGCCACCACCAACAACGCTGCAATCGCCACCACTACTATTGCCACAACTGCTACCTTTGCACCCAACCACCACACCCTATTATTGGCACCACCACATATTCACCATTGACGTTGCCATCATCGCCACTACCCCTGCGACTATTGTCGTTGCCGCCACCCCTACTACGTCTATTTTTTGTTATTATATACAATTATACCACTTTTACATCATAATTTACCAAACGCTTTTGCACTATTTTTCATACTCATAACACTTTTAAGAATACAGTTTATCAAACTCTCAACTACTTTATTTTACAATTGATTATTCTTAAAATACAACATAAGTAATTTTTTGAAAGAAAAAAAACACAACAATACCAAACCGGCCTTTAAGCTACCGACTAATCAAATGTACTTAATTATAAGTTATGTTTTATACACAAACAATGGATCTTTACAAAATAAATTTACAACTAGTCTCAACACCCACACTAAAATTACATACGTTGTCACAGTTGAACTTGCCATAATTAAAACCTCAACTCATAAACAATATATGGTTCTCGTATCTACGAAGTCTATCGCCCGTGTATCTATGAAGTTGAACTTGAGATTAGCTCCAACAAAATGAAGACAGCTACCAATAAATCAAAGGTGTAGGTCGCCCTTGTATCTACGAAGGTGCATGAGGGCAATGGGGTGTGGACACAATGAAGGGTATTACGGTAAAATGGGGGAACATACGAAGGCTCGCCTTCTTAAGGTTGGGTCACATGATTGCCCGTGGCCAAAAATGGTCAGGTGGATATCAGACGTTGTTGACTTAATATTTCGACACGTAGCGTTTTTGGGGTCCTCTGCATTGATTGCCCCAGTTTGCCAGCCATTCTAAGGTTTTCTCCCATTTCGCTCGCTTTTCTCCTATTGGTCTGTCTCTCTCTCAGTCACCACCTCCCCTCTCACGTGCCAAAATCCTCCTCCCTCTTCATGCGTATTTTAAGTGTAAATTTAATATAAGTTTAAGGCTTATTATATTAACACCATACGAATTGTTAAATAAATTTTACATATTTACATTCTAAATTTGCTCTCTCAGTCCTCATAATATCTTCACACCCCACATTCTTAACATACACATTATATTTTTTACATGCATCCTATATTTTCTATACACCCCACATTTCTCAAATCTTATGAAGTTTTTAATTTGGACAAAAAATGCCGACTAGAATTTTGACAAAAAGATACCGTCTGGGATTTAAAACATATGTGGGTTGTTTTCAATTCCATCGTTAAAACATGTGTCGTCTGTTTTTAATATTTGATGGTAAATTTAGGTGTTTAATTCTTCATGTAATCTCTAAAAAATGAATACGAACATAGAAGCTTGAATAACGCATCAAAAGCAAGATTAAATAATTATTGATGTCGTCGAAATCACTAAAAATAATAAAAAAATATGAAGTCTTACCTCATGTGAAGCTTCCGAAACATCGATTTTATGTTTCATTCGTCAAAAATATTTTTTCTCAATCAACATGTTTGTAGTTTCATTGGTTAAGGTTTTGTTCAACAATGGAGGGTCGGAAGGGTTTTGATAGTTAAAGAATATAGATAATACGTTAAAAGTGATTTGGGGTGTATATAGACTTTTTTTTTAACCTAATAAGGTCAAAATTGTCATTGCATGGTAGGGTAAATAAGTTATTTAATATTAAATTTTAATGTGGGGTATATTCAACATTTTATGGGGTGCTAATATAAAAAGCCTAAGTTTAATTTTGTGAGTTATTATTGAATTTAGTCTACTCTGGTTGCGGCCACTTAATACTACAGTCTAGTAGTATTCCTCTGTAGTTGTAAGTAAGAGGTCTTATATTCGCTTCTCACCAAAAGTGAATTTGAACCACATTATTGATAGCACATTGTGAGACTTAGTCCACTCCCTCACCTCCCTTAGTGTAAATAATGTCGTTTGTTCAAAAAAAAAAAAAAAGTCTACTCTGTTGGGTAGGTCCATTCACTGATTATTCATATCAACTTTTTTTTATTATCTTTTTATTAGATTGTGGTAAATGTCATCGCTTATTTATAGGTTTATCTTTTATTCAATTTTAGGATTAAATGTAAAAATTAAATACTCCCTCATTTGCATCTCAATGTTTTCTTTTAACTCCATCACATGTTAACTCTATTAACTAATCTATGTTGTAGTTACTCTATATATCAGCATATATACCAATATGAATTTATAAATGTACGGAAGATGAAATTTCTTTGAACTATTTTCATAGATGATAGGTAGATTAATTTTTATTTATTTTTGTAGATACTTTTATCACATGTTAAATGTATTTTATCAACCTATTGTATGTGTATCATATATGATGTTATATAAATTTTCTTTTAACTATTTTTTATGAAAGTGGTTATATCTAACTTACATATTAATAGAACCCTGTTTGTCAACTAAAAGATGGTGAAAAAACTATTTTGTCTTTTATTATAATAAAAAAGTTAAGGGCAATAACGTAATTTCACAAAACAAAATTTTGTTTTGTTTTGTTTAAGCTTCACCTCCATGCGATTTTAATATCTCTAATTTTAAAAAAAAGTTAAAAACTTAAAAATAAACCTCTCTCCCCCTCTCCCACTCCCACGTTTTCTCTCACACTCTTCCTCTCTCCTTCAATTTTGAAAACAAAGATAAACAAAATTCACTTTGTGTGTGAGCATATACTTGTTTAAATTTTGAGTAAAGATGCATAAATCAAGATGTCACATCCCGGCCCAGGGCGGATCACTTCCTGGGCCCGCTCCACCACCGTAGCACGATATTGTCCGCTTTGGGCCCCGACTACGCCCTCATGGTTTTGTTTTTTGGAACTCACGAGCAACTTTCCAGTGGGTCACCCATCCTAGGAATGCTTTGGCCTCCTTCTAGCTTAACGAACCCGAAACCAGTGAGCTCCCAAAAGGCCTCGTGCTAGGTAAGGATGGGAATATACATTTAAGGATCACTCCCCTGAGCGATGTGGGATGTTACAATCCACCCCTCTTAAGGGCCCGACGTCCTCGTCGGCACACCACGACCAGGGTTAGGCTCTGATACCATTCCGTCATATCCCGGCCCGGGCCCGCTCCACCACCGTAGCACGATATTGTCCACTTTGGGCCCCGACTACGTCCTCACGGTTTTGTTTTTGGGAACTCACGAGCAACTTCCCAATGAGTCACCCATCCTGAGAATGCTCTGGCCTATTTCTTGCTTAACTTTAGAGTTTCTACGGAACCTGAAGCCAATGAGCTCCCAAAAAGCCTCGTGCTAGGTAGGGATGAGAATATACATTTAAGGATCACTTCCCTGGGCGATGTGGGATGTTACACAAGAAATTAAATTAAATTTTAAAAATCGAAAAACTAGACTAAATCCAAGAACAGCTCAAAATTTTTGTCTTGAATCTAAGTACCCATTTTTTTAATCTATTCAGAACATTGTCATGTGACGTTATTGTCTCATCTAAATTATAACACTTGTGTTTTTTTTTTAATTAAATAAACTTTAAAAATCAGACATACCAATATTGCAAAAGGAGAACGTATAAAGGATGAGTTCATTACCATGATGGCGTTCTAATCCAATATTATAGCGTATGTGTAAGTTTATCTTCACATACATGACATTCCATTATTAAAACTAGATGTTACATAAATAGCAATGAATTCATTTCATGTTAATTATTCTCATGTCGTAGTAATATAATGTTTCGGTGTACATAAAAATTTATACACTCAACCGTCGGTTCCATCTCTCTCTCAGAGGCACCATTTAGTTGAAGTATTAATTTGATTCCTTCTGCTCAATTACTCTGTCTTTTCTTTGTTAACCCAACTAGAGAGAGAAGAGAAGGAGAAAGAGACTGAGATTATTGAAGATGGTAATAATGTTGAGCTCATAACTATGAAAATACATAGAATTATATAGAAATAGGAAAATTAGAAAAATAAAACTATATATAAAAAGCAAAAGAGGAAGCTTTTTGCACCCATTGTTGTTGTAGTTGTTTTTGCTAGAGAGAGAGTCAGATAATTTGATTGGGGAATAGATAAGGAATTCTAGAGAGAGAGAGAGAGAGAGAGAGAGAGAGAGAGAGAGAGAGAGAGGGAGGAGAGATGGGAAGAGGGAGGGTGGAATTGAAGAGGATAGAGAACAAGATCAACAGACAGGTGACCTTTGCGAAGAGAAGGAACGGACTTTTGAAGAAAGCCTACGAGCTTTCCGTTCTTTGCGATGCCGAGGTTGCTCTCATCATCTTCTCCAATAGAGGAAAGCTGTACGAGTTTTGCAGTAGTTCAAGGTTCTCTCTCCTTTTTTTTTTTTTTTGGTTATTTCACCGAAACAACTAAACCCCCGCTTTTTCCCTCCCTCCATTTCTATACCATTTCGGCTATCGCAATTTCTCCCACACGCATACATATATACACTCTCTTTCTCTCTTATTTCTTACAAAACTTATTAATTAACTATTTATTTATTTGATTTAATTTCAATTGTTTGTTTGTTTGTTTGTTTCTTCTTCTATGATTTCTGGAGTGCTTTTTTGGATCTCCAAGCCGTTTGCTTGCGTGAACATTTTTTGCTGTTTTCAGTTTTGTCTGGCTGAATCATGAATCTTCATCATCAGCAGCAGCGCTTTGACAAAAGCTCCCTCGTGAAGTTTTTTTTTTTTTTTTGGTTTAAAAATTTAAAAATGTCGCCCTTTGTGTTAAATTGTTGAAATTTGATGACTTTTAGCGGCGGTTTTTTTGTTGCCGTTTTGGTGAATGTCTCGGTGTTTTTAGCAGGTTGAGTGTTTCTGCTTCGGCATTGCTGTTAGATCTGCAACAGGAAATAAAGATAAACCCCATCAAAAGAAGATCTCTCATTTCTCATCACTCGTCACTCACTGTTTTTTTTCACAACTCTCCATCGGTTAAATCCTAGCTAGCTTTCTCTCTCTAAACTCTCTCTCTCTATTTAACTTCTGTGAACTGGGTTTTCCAAAAGCCCTTGCCCATTTCCTTTTCTTAATTTGCTCTCTCTCTCTCTCTCTCTCTCTCTCTCTCTCTCTCTCTCTCTCTCTCTCTCTCTCTCTATGCTTTAACTTCTGTGAACTGGGTTTTCCAGAAGCCCTTGCCTATTTCCTTTTCTTAATTTGCTCTCTCTCTCTCTCTCTCTCTCTCTATGCTTTAACTTCTGTGAACTGGGTTTTCCCGAAGCCCTTGCCTTTTTCCTCTTCTTAATTTGCTTACCCTAGCTTTAGCTTCACTCAATCATCTCATTTTTCTTTTCTTTTTTTCGTGATTTTTTATTTATCACAAGAGCCATCTGATCGATCCAAAAGCCCTTGGATCAGCATTTGAAGCTTTCTGATCAGCCAGCTTAGTTAATTAGTATCAGGTTTTCGACTCCGTTTTGTTCTTCACCAGGCCGGCTCTTCTCTCTCCAAAAACCTAGCTGCTTAATACTTAGCTAGGGTTTTATTTTACCAAATTCCCTTCTTTTTTTCTATTAACAAATTGTTATACTTTGGGGAATTTTCAACTTAATTAACTATTCTATTTCAGGTCTCAGCTGGTTCTCATCTCTGCTCTTACACTGAAAATTTAGGGCGAGAATTTTTTTCTATTTTTTTAAAAATTAAATTGAGTTTCCTGGAAATATTAATCCAAAAGCAAGAACTTAATTACCCGGTTTTTCCAGTTCCTCATTTGGGTCCATTAAATATACAAGATTTCCCTTGTTTTCCACTGGATTAATTTCTCCCTCTCTCTGAAAGACAGATGGTTTTCAATCACATTTTGACATCGAGTAATTAGTACTAAATATCTGCAATTTCTGCCTTGGATCTGACTTTACGTCAAAAATAACTTCTGAATTTTCGACTTGCTTAATTATTACCAGTGCTCTATCTTATCTCAGTAAAATATCTCTTTTTAATTGCACGTATTTTTAGGGCTTAATATTTTCTCGTATACTGTATTAATTATAAGTTCATTATTTAAGTTTAATTTCTATGAGATTGGCTTGATTTTGTCCTTTTTTTCAATTTTTGTTTTTCGTTTTTTGGTTTCTCAAATGCATGGTAATGTAAAAAAATTTTAGATCTTGTAGTACCAACTAAATTATAAAGTGTTTGTCTTAATTACGTAATGATTGAAGTGTTTTAAATAAATTTGTACATTATGTTAGATAATATGAAATATGTAAGCTTGACAAGTAGAGCTTTAAAAGCAATATTCACTTATTTATTGTATTAGGTTTAAAGGTATTACAATGAAGTAGGCTCTCCATAAACATTCATCTCATTCAGCTAACGATAAATTTTCAGGGTAAGACTAAATTCACATCTTAATCTTTTGAATAATCCTATAGAGTCTTGTATATGGACGAGGAATTTCCTACTTGCATTCGCTAATTATATGTTTTCCTACACAAAGTGAAGTGATGTTTTAGGATTCATACAACGGACCCTATTTAGTCGGATGAGGCATTGTTGTTGATGTTATATGTTTTCCTACACGCATACAAATATAATTACCTGGCTTGTGATCCATCAATTCATATTTTGTATGATTTATGCCCTTCAAATAATGTTTCAAAGAAAGGCTAATTTACATGTGTGTTTATGTTGTTGTACAGCATGCTCAAAACTCTTGACAGGTACCAGAAGTGCAGCTATGCAGCACCGGAGACAAATGTATCTACAAGGGAGGCCTTGGTAATACATTCAACTCAGTTAATTAGTTTAGATGGAGTTTCTTGCTTGTTGCCCTACATAACAAGGAATATTGAGGGGATACAAAAGAAACCAAACTACTGGCAAGTAAACATTGCATCATGACAAGGATTAATTTCAAACCTATGGATATATAGAATGTTTTCAAGAGAGTACAAATGAAAATTGATACTATTTATTAGTGGTTTTTTACTTTTCAAGTAAGATCTTATTGGTACTAATTGTATATGCATTGTTGGCCTATTGACTAATAACAGCTTCGGAGTTGTTTGATAATCATTTCATTTTTAGTTTTTAGTTTTCAAAAATTGAAAACGAAATGATGATCAAATGACCCTTAGTTTTTGAAGTCTAGTAAAATTGTCTAACATGAATTTTGAGTTATAAATGGTTCTATGGAGTCCATATTGAGTTCGAAACTTCTAAACGGCACCCATCCCAGACCTCACTAATTTGTTAACCGATAAGGTGGCACTGCACTTATATGTTATTTACATATTTGTCTACCTCTTCTTGAGTAAGATAGATGCACGTAAAGGAGGGTGTTAATTCATATACATAGTTGATTCATTTTCTAATTAGAGGTTTTGTTATTTTCTAACCATACTACTTGTTTCTCTCCCTCCCTATCTTAATGTTATTTCATAGCTTGATGTTAGTAAAAGACTATCCCAACATTTTTCTCTGTATTGATGTATTTACTTATACAAAGAATTCACTGTTTGGGATTCAAACAAGCTTAACTTTTTTTCTTGCTATTAAAGAAACTTATAGACCAAAAATCTGATTAAGGTATCTTGTAGGAAAGGTTTTGGGATCAAATATATATATGACAACCTCCTAATTCATATATCTATATATCTTTATATTGTTTATCTTTGACCTGAATACATCCTACTTCTCCTGGACCATATGCAGGAATTGAGTAGCCAGCAGGAGTATTTGAAGCTCAAGGCACATTTTGAAGCCCTACAACGAAACCAAAGGTTATTGTCTTTCCGACCTTCAGTTATATAAACGTTAAGGGCTAAAAATTAGGTTTACTAAGTACTAACTTTCTTGTTACTACCTTAGGAATCTCCTTGGAGAAGATCTTGGCCATTTAAGCAGCAAAGAGCTTGAATCGCTTGAAAGGCAGCTGGACATGTCGCTGAAGCAGATCAGATCGACACGGGTACCTTACCTCATCACCACCTTACAGTTTAAACTGATTTAACATATTGTCCTTTTCTCAATGATTCCTTGACTATTTGGCTGTTTCAAGGCTTTTATTATTGTGCGCTAGATTTTCATGTATTGTCAGGTACTCCATAAACTTTTCTAACTTTTTGTGATATTTGACACTGCTTGCATCATGCTGTGTTTTGAAAACCATGAAGTGAATGAGACGTGTGCATAAAATCCATGAAAAATCATCCTTTATCGCTCAAAAAAGAAGAAAAAAAAGTTTACCTAGTGTATATAGAGACTGGGAATCCAAAACCAAGAACACGAAACAGATTTTCCGAATTGGCTCCAAGTGAAGCATGAATGACTTAAACTGATATATCTTGGTATTCTTATATTACAGACCCAATACATGCTGGATCAGCTCACAGACCTTCAGCGAAATGTATGAGAACACATATATCCTTGTGTATTTTCATTTGAGTTTACTCTTCCCATCTTAGCCAACTGAAAGTTTTTGTGCTTTTCGCAATGCATATTCTCCTCATCCTGTACATTTACTTATTTATGGTTCTGATTTTTGCACAGGAACACGTGCTAAACGAAGCAAACAAGACCCTGAAACAAAGGGTAGGCAAACGACAATAATTTTCAGCAATTTGGTTTTGAAAGATTATGAATAACTTTCAGCAATTCCGAGTTGCAGGGCGGTAATTAAGTTGATTTTGTTTTCAGACGTTGCATGTACCTGACTTTTTGGGTGATCATGCTTTGCAGTTGTATGAGGGATACCATGTAAATTCACTGCAACTGAATGCAAATGCCGACGAGTACGGCCGCCAACAAGCTGCCGACGAGTACAACCGCCAACAAGCTCAGGTGGCGCAGGGTGATGGCTTCTTCCATCCCTTAGACTGCGAGCCCACTTTACAGATTGGGTATGTACTTGTACTGCATTTATAATATAAATAAACTCCCTAAGTTTCATAATTAAGGAAACCATTTTGGCCTCCAAACCTGATTAAGTTTATACTCAACTTAAAATCTCCTCTTGTCTGAACCGAGAAGGTGGATGCCAAGAAAATACAAGCATTTTTTTAATTATTATATGTGCAGGTCTGGGTTTTCTGGATTTAATTAGCCTCTATGCTAAACCCAGTTAATTAGCATTGTAGTTAAGGTGAACATCACTACAACTGGGGGTTTATGGTTTGAATTAGGCCACTAATGGGCCTTTTACGCACTCAATTTTGTACAACTAATGTCAGTGACTATTGTACGTTTAAGATCCAGATTATGGATAATACTCTCTCTCTCTCTCTCTCTCTCTCTCTCTCTCTCTCTCTCTCTCTCTCTCTTTGTGGGTTGAGTTGAGTCATCTTTCTCATTGAATTAATGTATCTGTTAAATTTTTGCAGATATCAGAATGATCCAATATCCGTGGTGACAGCAGGTCCAAGCGTGAGTAATTACATGGGAGGATGGTTGCCATGATAATAAATGTATGCATGCATGCATGGTCATCAACAACAGCAGCAGCATCTAGCCATGCATGGTATTTGCAATTAATATTGATAAGCAAGATACAATTTATGCATGTCTGTTTTTTATGTTTGATTTTTATTTGACCAAAACGGATCAACGATGATGATCAATTCTCTGTAATTGTATGGATTTATGCCATAATTAACTCTGGACGCTTAAGAGTTGCCAACAATTGTGCGCGCGTGCTTTTTTTTCTTAGCTTAATTTCCTTTGGAATAATCACTATGTATAAAAGTATATCGCTTTGCATATGACAATGAGGTTTCTGTTTGTGCCATATCATCTGGGCATTTTTTTTAAAGTTGTGAAAGGTTGTCTAACCAATTTGTTCTAGGGGTGTAATCTCGGTCTTTCGGCCGAGTTTTGTTGGTCTTAGCCCTGTTTTTTTGGCTCCATAGAGAGAAATTTTTAATTGTGACAGGAATATGAGTGGTACACCACATGTTTTTATGTAAGTAGTGGGAAATTTTATTTTTTAAGTTATTAACTTTTTAACACACATATCCTACCATTTATATAATAACACGTAGTGTACCATCTCGTGTGATGGTCATATTGAAAAATCTCTCCCATAGAGATCGGATCTGCCTCAAATACTTTGGGGCAATCTGCCAATGCTTGGTTTTTTATTCGGTCATTACTGTTGCACGTTGAGGAAGCTCATATTTATTCGTTTGTGTTTTAATTTAATTGTTTTATTTGGTGTGGGTAGTGCTATATACACACCCCTCTTAATTTTCAACGGTCTGGTCAAATGAATTAAAAAATATTAATGGCAAAAAACTAACAATGGTGTGTGAGAGGCAAAATATTTACTACTCGTAATTGAAATTAGAATGTGAAGTGGGATTTCGATTACGAATTACTCGGATGTTTACAAATGAAAACGTACGGGTGGATTCCTCCACACAATTATCAAAGATTTGTTACTTTTGGAGGAATTTGACTCTATTTGCGAGGTAGAAGCGTAGAAGCACTAGGGTTAACAGCGGCCTGGACTGACTGGGCTGGAGAGCCTCACCAAATATGAGGCCCATGCAGCAGAGCGGCCTCGTACTTCCTTAACATTTGGGAAATGGTATTTGGGTTTTTTTTGCTTCAAACTTGAAAAACACGACGAAGTTGCGTGTCAATTTTGTTGCCACGATACAAGACGAAGACGATCGAGATTCGAGAGCATAACTTTACCGGGAGAATCCTGGATTCTCTTTGTGAAAATATTGTCGGAATCCTCTATTTACATTCGCTTATCGTATATCGTGCGGTCAGAAATTATTGTAGATTATTTTATTTAAAATTAAATATAAATAATACCTAATAAAAATTGACCGTATAATGTATGATGAACGAATGTTATTGAATGATGCTTAGAATTCTGACAGAGGATCGCGAGGATCCTCTCTCATAACTTTATAGCCACAAATGTCAATAGTTGTATTGACAAACGGGACATAATTCATAAACAATGAAGAGGTGGATATTGGGAATCTAAGACATAAGGAAAACGTGTTTCGTATCATATAAATATCGAAGATTTGTGAATATATGTGTAGCCAAAGCGAGCGACCATGAAATCTTGTCACTTAATCATCGATGTTAATTTAACAATATATGTCTGTTCAGCTACACAAGAAAAAATTTAGAACCTATAACTGGTGAAGGGTTGTTCATATTAGCCACCAAATTCACGTGAAAGAAGGAAATAGAACCAAGCTCACTCAGAAATTACACTAGAATTTTCTCCTTCAATTATAGATATCGTCGTTGCACCGGGTGAGCCGCTTGAGGTCTCTTATGGCCAAACATAAATCAGGTGTCGCTAAACAAATTTTTGGGAGTATCAATTCTACATCGGAAAAATGAAGGATTTTGCATGTGTTTATAGTAGTTAGACTATTCTCTATATTGTCAATTTATTTTAAGTTGGAAACTCTACCAACTAGTCACATGCAACTAGAATTTAGATTTTTTTTTTTTTGGTGGCAAACAATAGGTTTTCGTGTTTAATAAATCTATTAGTTTCATTGAATTTTTTACTTGAGTTTACTAATTTAAGCAAGCATTGTACTAGTTCTCGTTTTGAGTCTTGACCAAAGAAAAGGGCATGTACCTAGTTGGTAGGTGGTCTAATCTTCTAGGCAATTAGATTAAGCGCTAGATTGCGACTCGAAATGGCTCTCTTTCCCCTCTAACTAGGGCAACAATCAAAGTTAGTTAAACTACAAGATAAATGCTAAGAAGAATCTTATAACTTGGGATGCTATATGAATTTTCTGTCATCTTACAATTTAACGTTAATTTATGTACCAATATTAGAAAATATTTTACTAAAAATATGCAAACAACAACAACAACAACAAATTATTTTCCCACTAAGTGGGGTCGGCTATATGAATACTAGAACGCCATTACACTCGGTCCCGTGTCATGTCCTCCGTTAGATCCAAGTACTCTAAGTCTTTTCTTAGAGTCTCTTCCAAAGTTTTCCTAGGTCTTCCTCTACCCCTTCGGCCTTAAACCTCTGTTCTGTAGTCACATCTTCTAACCGGAGCATCAGTAGACATTCTTTGCATATGTCAAAACCATCGTAACCAATTTTCTCTCAGTTTTCCTTCAATTTCGGCTACTCCTACTTTACCTCGGATATCCTCATTCCTAATCTTATCCTTTCTCGTGTGCCCACACATCCAACGAAGCATCCTCATCTCCGCTACACCCATTTTATATATGTGTTGATGCTTTACCGCCCAACATTCTGTGCCATACAGCATCGCCGACCTTATTGTCGTCCTATAAAATTTTCCCTTGAGCTTAAGTGGCATACGACGGTTACACAACACGCCGGATGCACTCTTCCACTTCATCCATCCAGCTTGTATTCTATGGTTTAGATCTCCATCTAATTCTCCGTTCTTTTGCAAGATAGATCCTAGGTAGCGAAAGCAGTCGCTCTTTGGTATCTCCTGATCTCCGATTTTCACCTCTAACTCATTTTGGCCTCCATTTGCACTGAACTTACACTCCATATATTCTGTCTTTGATCGGCTTAGGCGAAGACCTTTATATTCCAACACTTATCTCCAAAGGTTAAGCTTCGCATTTACTCTTTCCTGAGTTTCATCTATCAACACTATATCGTCTGCGAAAAGCATACACCAAGAAATATCATCTTGAATATGTCCTGTTAACTCATCCATTACCAACGCAAAGAGGTAAGGACTTAAGGATGAGCCTTGATGTAATCCTACAGTTATGGGGAAGCTTTCGGTTTGTCCTTCATGAGTTCTTACGGCAGTCTTTACTCCATCATACATATCCTTTATAGCTTGGATATATGCTACTCGTACTCCTTCTGGATTCATTTTCATAAGGATTCGACGTAACCTAGGAGTGCCGGATGTCGACTACCTGACGCCCTCCCCCTTCTCCTTTATCCGGGCTTAGGATCGGCAATGTAAGATAAACTTACACAGGCGGAGTTATTTTACTAAAAATATGCGATGGCAGAAAATTAATAGAGATGCTCACTTTTGAGAAAGAAAAAATACTAAGAAAATTAAATTTGTAAACAAAATAGCATGAAAATTAATAATTGAATTATTACATAAATGATCTCGTTCTATTAACATTTGTCTAACTGAAACTTTTGCCATCGCACCCTAATCATGTGAACCCATTCAAACAAGCTTCTTTTTCTTTTTTTTGTTTTGTTTAAAATGTATTCAAACGTGACAACCCGAATGATTTCACAGATTCATGTATTGTGCACATTCTACTATCGAATGAGAACAAGCAACATTAGGCAACCACTGCCGGTTATATATATTATTATTATGTATTTTATATATTCAATTACATATAGAATCTTTGGGGGATATGAAATGCCACGTGTATGGGATTGAGACCTCAACAATGGCATCCAATTTTTAAGAGTTTAATAATTTTGTGGATCAACTTCAATGATCTGCCTTCAACTAACACGCAACCCAAATTTGGCACCATTTGGTATACTAGATTTCTCAGATCATAAGCCAAACACACAAAAATAATAACTCACCCCGAATTCAAATATCGGTCTAGTAATATTTATTTTCACTTATAAATGAAAGGTATCAAGTTCGATTCTTATCAAAGAAAAAGTTAAACCACATTATTACTAGTCCGTCGTAAGGCTAAATTCACCCCCTCATTATTTTAATGTAGGTAATATCATTTGTTCAAAAAAAAAAAATTATCATCTCCCTTTCGTGTGCACATTTAATATAAAAAATTAGGATTTATACTAAAAAGTAAATACGAAAAATAAGTAAACCTTACAAGTAGTTTCATTAGCTCCATGATAAAGTATTATGAGTAAATATTAGTGGCCAATTTATAAATTTTTCTTCTAATACCAAAATAAAGTATGTACGTTATCTGCATACCATATCTCAATTTCTTTCCAAGCATTTTGTAAACATTTCGTATTTTTATACATTTAATTCTAAATTATATTTTTATATTAAATGTATACATTAAAAAGAGATAGAAGAGTTTGAACTCAGAAATGTAGTGAGGTTTTTTTTTTTTTTTTGTTTGGCTTATGATTTGGGAAATATAATCAAACTCACTCAGAAATTACATAACAATTTTCTCCGTCAACTATATCTGTGCTCGTGAGTATTCTTATTTGAATCCACTCTATATATTATTTGAATCTACTCTCTATATTATCAATTGATTTAAGTATTTAATTCATCTATTAGTTTAATGAGTTTTAATGAATTGTTGATTTAGAGTTTTAACCATTTAAGCAAGCATTGTACAAAGAAAAAGGCCCTTGCTGGTTGGTAGGGGCTCTAATCTCATAGGCAATTAGATTAAGAGCTAGTTGCAACTCGAAATGGCTCTCCTTTCCCCTCTGATTAGGACAACAACCAAGTAATTAATTAAGCTACATTCTAGACTTGGAGAAATTAAGTGTGCTAAAAACACAACACGTTATATCAAGTATTATAATACAAGTTGTTAAAAAAAATTTGTTTCAATATCTAACCACTTATATTATAGTTTTTTATGTACCAGATTGTTTTCCACACACTGAAAAATCTATACTGTATATAAATATAAGTCACATTTTTCACGTGAATGCATAAATACAAGTTTCTTGTTATTTTTTAAGTCTATTCAAACGTGACAACCAGTGGCGGCCGCCACTCCCCTCGCCGGGAAACACCACTGGACTCCAGGTCTTCGCCACTCCCCTCGCGCGCCTCGC